CAGGCAAAAACAACAACACAGCAGTGCCACAACAAACAAACAAACAAGTCGCTGTAAAGCATTAAAAGAAAATATATGTGCAGCATGCGTGTCTGGTACACGCTTCCGCCTTTAGCTAAGGATAGCTGTAGAGTATTTTGTATTCTTTACTGTTTCGCTTTTGCGAAATCACCCCTGCGACGCATCGACGGTCAATCACTCCGTTTCCGCCGCACAACTCAATTTCAGCCACAGCTTCAATGGCGTTGTTAGAAAGAACTTCAGCACACCCGCAGCTATTAAACGTAGGTATATATTAACAAAGCAGTATAGGCTGCTAAACTACTAAATTGTGAAGATGGGTGAGAGGCGCGTGGAAAACGCTTGCCAGGATGTAGGCAATCAACTCACTTCGATACATATATTCGATTGCATTGGCGATTTTTATGCGTTGATAAAATTTACAATTTAATAGAATCCAATCGAATTGAGTTGCAAAGCTAATCTAGCTTATGTTGTTGTTGTTGTTTTTAGTTGTTGTTATTGCTGCTGCTACCACCGCTGTGTGGCTATCGCCTGTTGTTGACTTGGCCAATGATGTTGGTGCGCGATAAAACTGGCAACAGTGGCTCTTAAATGTTGGAGTCGGCATGCTGTACAAACGGAGAAGAAAAACGTTATCTTAATGGGTTAAATAATGTCTAAAGGTATTTCCAAAAGTGTATATACATACAACATATATCTTATGTGAATATCGGTTTTTGCCATAATCATCAATTTTTTATCGACGCATGTACGCTATTTAACCTTTTCATGGAATAAGAAAGCAATTGTATTTACTGGTAGTCACCAAAGAAAAAATCGAAAATATAGAATATTTGTATGCTACTATACTCGTATAACCGACGTTCAGGTAATGGAAAAGATATCCTCTTCTATCAAAATTTCTTAAATCAGTTGATAGCTCTGAAGAAAAAAATGCTCGTATCAAGGTACATTGAACAGGTAGTATCAGTAGAGCAGCTGATTTGATTTATTTTCAAATTATTGGGTCTCGAAAATGTCAAATATTTTTAATTTTTTCTCACAAAAATTCTGAATTGTTAAAATCCATTTGCTTGTGAAACCTTTTTCATACAAAACAAGCGATTGAATAGCAGCTTTTGGAACGTTCGCCCAACTCGGCAGCACGACCGCTGATTACTGGGCCTTGCAAAGGATGGATCAATGCTTCGAGAAGCAAACAAATTTACTAGGAAAGAAAGTTCATCAATTTTTATTTTTTCCAATTTCAATTTTTTATTTTTTATAATTTTTTGTATTTCACATGGCACGCTTTGATTTAGAAGAAAAAATTCAGAACAGTTTTTGACACTTTCGATACCAGAAGCAACAACAAAATACACGCAAATGTTGTTTTTGCTCTACTGATACCACCTGTTTAATGTGCCTTGGCTCGTATATTTATTTCTTCAACAAAGTTTAAAGCAAATGCAAAGTGACATTTGAAGGAACAGAAATAATGACAACTAATATTTATTTCATTTCATTTCATTTTCATTTCATTTATTAAAAAATATAACATTAGCACAATAAGATCCCAATGATCTTTTATATTTATTCACAATTTTCTTGAGAGCTTTAGATACCTATACTGTTTAATCCTAGAACCGTAACGTCCTTCCATCCTAACGGCTAGATGTTGCTAATAGTTCAGAATTTCCAGTTCAATACAATGAGCGATTAAATGAAATATTAAAACGCAGGTGCCAAACGAAATAAGTTAAATAAAACTTCCCACATATATTATTTTTGTTGAAGGTTGCTGCCTGTTTTAAAATAAAATTTGACTTAGTTAATTTGTCAATTGAAATATTAAAAGGTAGTGTCTTTACATTTTTACATCAAATTATTTTGAAAAAGAATTGACACATTTCCAAAATGTATGTAAATTAACTTTTTCCGTTTATGTGAAATAAAATTAAAAAATACCATTGACATTAAACTAAAATATATGCATACATATCGCTCATTTAATGCAAAGGTGTCATAATAAAAAAAAAAATGGTACGTATGCCGAAGGTTTCATACCTTTAACGAACATCAGAACATTTTACTTNATGCATACATATCGCTCATTTAATGCAAAGGTGTCATAATAAAAAAAAAATGGTACGTATGCCGAAGGTTTCATACCTTTAACGAACATCAGAACATTTTACTTCAACCTATTATTGCATTGTAGTTTAGTTGTTGGGGAGTTTAAAAAAAAAATATTTTACCTTCACCGCACACAATAATGTAGGCGTTATATAACAAAAACTCATATCTGAACAATTAGTGGAATGGAAGATATACTACCTTATAAAGCACCGATCTAAATGGTTTTCGCGGTAGGCCATGTCTGTTCTAAACTGCCTACATAAGTTTAGTTTCAATATAATTTGAATCAATTGATTGAAATATTTCTTCCTTGTATTTCAAATTTGGAATAAATATTTATTTATTTCCGTTTTGCATCAATAAATTTAGNCGCACACAATAATGTAGGCGTTATATAACAAAAACTCATATCTGAACAATTAGTGGAATGGAAGATATACTACCTTATAAAGCACCGATCTAAATGGTTTTCGCGGTAGGCCATGTCTGTTCTAAACTGCCTACATAAGTTTAGTTTCAATATAATTTGAATCAATTGATTGAAATATTTCTTCCTTGTATTTAAAATTTGGAATAAATACTTATTTACTTCCGTTTTGCACCAATAAATTTATTTTAATTATTTTCTAACATAATTTTTTCACAAAAAAAGCTAATTTATTTATACTTAACAACATATTTGTGGTCTGATTGTAGAAAATGTCACACGTACATACTTTAGCAAACATTTGCTCACTATTTTTACTTTGACCACTATTTTTGAGTTATCTGCTTTTTCACGCATGCTAGCTAGTTCACAAAGTCAAGAAAGAAAGGAGTGATATGTAAAAGAAGACAATAAAATTAAAAAGTTTTCTTGCAGGCGCTTAAAATGCTTCTTAATGCCACTTGTAACTTCTATACTTCTTCTTCTTGGTATACAAAACCGACATATGAAAGAGGCAAAAATGCAAGGAGAATGCACAAACAGCTTCACTAAAACACTCATGCAAGCAAATAGACATATGTACATGTGAACACACGTGTATGAACAGATGTGCATATGCTGCTGCGTATGTGTGTGCGAGAACATTTGCAAAAAATTTGTGTATTAGTAAGGAGCATCCATGTATGTAAATATGTATGCATGTATATAAATTGCCTCATAACGATAAGAATCACTCTGACGCATGGAATGGAAGTCATATCAACTCTTCCATCGTCTTTACTACTCACATACATACTATTTACATGCATAGATATGTATGTATGTGTGTATACATGCTTGCTGTGTTGAAAACAATTTGCCTTAATATCCTCATGTCAGCCTTATCGATAGTACTTACTTGCAAAATGTTAGCATGAAATTGGCATTCAATTGTACTAAATAATAGTAAACATGGAAAAATGGAAGGCAAAATATCATGCTATACATAAATGCACACTAAGAGTCGACATCTTTTGGTGCTCACATTTATTGTTAGGAATCTTTGAACTCCATTCTATATACATAAAAGGTGTATACATATGTATGGGCTACACGTAAGAGATCTGAATATAATACAAAAAATGATTTGTCTAATTTATGCGTTTAAGTGTTATATAAAGTTACACGTATGCGGGTGCGAACCCAGAGTATTTATTTTAGAGACTATGCCTTTGTAAGAATTCGAAAAATTTTCATTAACTAAAGATTTATAAGTAGCATACATACATATGTCCAATTTTTCAAATGCAACTTCTTTGGTGGCGGTAATGAATTGAAAAATCAATAAGGCGGATGCAACGAAAATGGTTGGAGGCGGAGATGCCTTCTATATGAATGCTCAACTCACCTCAACTCAGCCCACCTATACTTACCTCAACTCATCTCAACTCAACTTTCCTCATCTCACCTCAACTCACCTCTCCTCACTTAAACACAATTCAACTCACCTTAACTCACTTCACTCCAACTCAATTGACCACAACTCGCCTTAACCCATCTCAACTCGACTCATCCTAACTCACGTTAACTCACCTCACCTTAGAAAAAATATGAAAACCTGTTATGGAACAACTCCTTCATACTATTAAAATTGGCATTAAAAACAAGGACAAATTCAATAACAACAGATTTTTCAACACCACTGTTGGGTCCTTGAAAGGTTCATTGAAATTCTTGCATAGAAATATAATTCATATAACACCGACTTCCTGTGCCGTTTGAATGCTACAAGTTCCATTTTTTTCATAACATGTATATCTTGAATCCAGACAGCCAATTAATCGGATATTTTAAGACATATCGAAACGTAGACTTTCTGCCACCCACAGGCCACTGTGCAGCGTCACTTGTGAGTATGCATATTTTTATATGTTTTCGCGATCGGAATAATGCAGAGCGGTTCTGTTAAGTACGACTGTGAGCAGTGCTCTCAACACCCACACTCTCATATATTGAAATGGTTAAATGTATGAGTTTTTGCCGAACACTGCTCTGGACAAAATAAGAGAGAGTCTCGAGCAGTATGGCAGACAGAATGCTTTTCACTTTACTGACAATTATCATTAGTCTGAGCGGACCAGCATGAGCTGAGTAGTGTAAGAGGAAATGCCATTTGCTGATGTTTGTTTCTGTGGAATCATCAGCAGTCTCGGCCGTGAGAATCGTTTGTTATGAAGATAAATATTTCACTTAAACAATATGCCAATCACTTTGAAATAAATTTCACTTTTTTTTTTGTCGTAGTAAATTTGTTCATCTTAAAAAGCTTAAAAAACCTAAGATAATACACGGTGTCGCCGGCATTCAAGTCGCCAGACATAATAACTGAGACTTCACCCTGTCCAACATTTCATTTTTGTAAATATTTCTATAAAATATGTAAAAGGTATACCTTTTATGAACTTTGCCAATATTTTTCGCAGAATCTGCATGGAACTTTTCTATGTCACTCATACGCCACCGGTCATCCTGCAATAAATAAAAACGTAAATAGGTCAGAGAAATTTGCGTGGAATATACATATATTTGTGTACTAAATCTATATTAATATGTGTAGGTATATATGTATGAGTAGGAAGCTTTGACATATACATATGTATGTATGCAGTTATGTTTGTAGGCAGGTGATGAGTAAAGAGCAGCAAATTGTAATGCACTTTTTTAAATCAAGAGAAACAATTTAAAAGTGTCAGCATTAAGAATGAGAGCAGCAGCAATACAAAAAAAAACACATCTAGTCAGGTCATCCACGTTTTGTTATTCTGTCAGTTTGCAGAGTCTACTTTTCCATTCTCACACTTTTTTATGTTTCCCCGTAATTTTATTTATATTTATTTATTACATTTTTGCAGTTTTCCTACTTTTGATTTCATTTTCTCTGCGCAGCTAAAGAAAACATTACAAAAAACAAGAAAAACAAACAGCAGCAAAGCACAGTAGCACACTCACTCAGAAAAAAATAAAATAAAGAAAAAATAGTGAAAAATAATAACAACAACATTAATTGGCAACCACTCAACGCAACTATATTCACTTGCTGCTCCTGTGTAGTGCTGC